TTATCATAGTCATCATGACTGTTATTGTTATAGGACAAGAGTCAACTAATACCTGGGGTCCAGGAGGTACTGGTTGACTCAGTGCTGCTTCTTTCCCTGTCAGGGTAAATATGCAGCCCTAGATGTCTCCTGTTCTTACTCATACTGTCCCATTCTTGCCTTACGGTTTCCATTCCTTCCTCTCTTTGAATAATATAAAATTTTTTTCCAAGATGTCTATTATTTTTAGTTTTCCCATTTGCTGCATTCACCAAATCTCCTTCCTTGTGGTTCCATTTCCTTATATGATTTGTAATCTTTGACTGCGAGCTCATCTTTAGAGAGATTGCTATCTACAGGAGTCCAGTGTTCCCTGAGTTGTGGAAACTGTGCTATACATCTCTCTGTATGCTTCCCATTGGTCTCTGCCTGGCCCTGGGTTTCAGAGGTGTCAGGCCAGTTAATATGCCAATTTCTTAGACTGTGGTCCCTGAGTTATATAGTAATGTGAATTCAGACCTCAGACTTGAGCTGGTGCAGGGTATGATGCTCTAATGTCTAGCAGCTGACTCTTTCCTACCATAGTTCAAGTGGATGGCAAGCTTCCTTACAGCCTCCCCAGGCCAATGAGGGGTATTTTTCTAGTTATCATCTCTGTGTCAAGGTACTTGTGGCAGGTTGTATTTTCCAAAGAAGGATGCACTAATACATATCATCTCTGCAAGTTCTTCCTTCAATGTGACATTGACACTCCTCCATCAGGAGGTGAGGTCTGTGTTCCTTTCTCTGAAACTAACTTCCTTAGTCAATAAAATGCAGTAGAATTGACACTGTGATGTTCAAGGATAGGTCATAAAAGATGATACGATTTCCACTAGCTAGCTGTCTCAGGACACTCGCCTTTGAAACCCGGCCACCATTTTGTGAGGAAGCTAAGTGATAGGAAGGGGCCACCGTAGAAAGGTTCCATCTGACATCCACAGCTAAGGTCTCAGTCCACAGCCAGGATCAGCCACCAGACATAGGAGTGAGTGAGCCTGCAGGTGATTCCAGCCCCGAGCCTTCAAATCTTCCATCTGAGGCCCCAGACATGGTGAAACAGAGCCAAGCTGTCCCTGCCGTTCACTGTCCAAATTCCTGCACTGTCCCACAGAATACATGAGCACAATAAAGGGTTGTTTTGCACCACTAAGTTTTGGAGAAGTTTGTGATGCATCCATGGTAACTGGAACAGTACTCCTTTGTGACTCCCAGCTCTCAGCAGATGCTCAACGCTGCCTTCCTGTGTGAGCATTCCCTCATTTCTGCCACCTGGGGGTTTCCTCCTCTTGGTTCCTAGCTCAGCCGCATGGCCATAAATTATCTTACTATACTTTACCCCGCATTTGAAATATATGGAAGCAGTATGGGGTTTCTTCACGTTGCCTTCCTCTGCCACACTGACCAGGAGTTCCCAGAATAGCTTTTCAAACGATGACATAAAGAACTGAAGAATTTAATTTCTCTTGTATGTAAAGATACTTAAAAATCAATAAGAAAGTGGACCCCAAGACAGTGTGTTTATTAAAGAACAGATAACCCATTACAGAAAAAAATGGTCAATAAAAGTTTGCCCTCACTAATACTCAAAAAAAAGCAAAAGAATACAATGAGCTACAACTTTTGCCCTGAAAATGGTAAAAAATTTTTTCTCTACTACTAGACAGTGTAAGATGGTGTTCAAGGAAACAGCTACTCTCATAAGGTTTCAGTGGAAGTATTAGTATATTTCCAGAGAGCAATCTAGCAATACATATGTCCTTATAATTTTATATACTTTTGACTTGGCAATTTCACTTCCAAGAGTTTATCCTAAAGGAACAATCAATGATACATCCAAATATTTACCTTCAAGGATGTCAAATCCTACATTTTTTATAATAGAAAAGCAAAAAGGCTGAAAATAGCCCAACATCAAAGAGCAGATGGTAAGATTATTTTTAGCTTTGATTAAACCAAAATAATCATCAAGTGAACATAAAGAAAGGCAAGTTGTAGATTCATTGAGAAAGCTAGTTATTTATATATTTGCAATGCCAGTCATTGTGCTAGGAGGTGAAATACAAAAATGATTAGGATGCAAAAGCATACAGTCTACTGGGGGAACAAAGTAACCAAACAATTACACTTCACTATGATACCGATTGATGATAAATCTGTGTTTAGATTTTGTGGGACAACAGGGCCTTTGCTGACCTAACCAGACTGGGGAAGAAGGAGAGTTTTGCTGTTGTTTATGGGCAAGGCTTGTTCAAGCCAAGTCCCACGGGTTTTGATAAACAGAAATGGACTGTGGCAGAGAAGACTGGATGCCCAAAATTCTGGTTCCTCCGGAGAATACAGTTGTTCCTAGAAAGTGGTTAACTCCTTGTGGTTGGAATGGGAGTGAAGGCAACGTGTGGCACTTTGTGCAAGAAACTTCAGAAGCAGGTCTGCTTTTTTTTTTTTTTTTCTTTTTTTGAGGTCACGCAGCTTGTGGGATTTTAGTTCCCCGACCAGGGACTGAACCCAGGCCCTACGACAGTGAGAGTCAGGATGCTAACCACTGGACCGCCAGGAAATTCCCCCAGGCCTGCTTTCTCCATACTTCCTCCTTCCCACTTTCACAAGGGGGTTCAAAAAAGACTCGGAAGAAACTAGAAAATGACATTTAGATAGAAATGTGGGTAGAGACCCTGCTGGAAAAGGTAAAGATGTGAAAGTTGCCCTGGAGAGTGGAGGAGGGGTTCAGCACTGAGGCAGGACCACAGACACATTTGAACGCCGGCCAAAGTGGCTTGTACTTTCCTTTTTAGCAATGAGAAGGCATGAGGGTTTTCGAACAGAGGTGTGGCATATTCACAGCCATAGGAAGCTTTAGGAAGATTAAGATGGCAGAGACTGGAGCCAGGTTAAGAGACTACATATAATAGTTCAGAGTGCTTAAATTAGAGTAGTAGAGAGAACTTGACAACACTGACAATTGATTGAATATTGGAGGTTCAGGAAAGGAAAAAAAGAGTCAAAGAGGACTGAGGCTGTGAACTAGGGTGACCAAAAGAATTATGGAACCATGAATTAAATTCAGAGAAAGTGCGAGTCTGGGGGCGGAGGGCAACGAGCAGCTCAGTTTTAGATAAAATTAGTCTAGGACATTCAGGTGGAGATATATAACCTGGATCTAAGCTATAGGAATATTGAAGACGATAGGTTTGGTTGGGAGATGAAGCTTTTAAGAGATCGATTTACTGGTGAGAATTAAGGTCAGAGATTGGATAAAGTTGGCAAAGGAGATTTTCCAGGGAGAAGAAAACCAGATTCCCTTAAAATATATGCAAGCCAGGAAGATAAAGAAAAGGCAGAAAAGTAACTGGAAAGGCAAATGATCCTGAGGAACCAGAATCGTAGGAAGAACCGGACCATGTCCAATTCTACAGGAGTTAGTAGAGAAAGGAACCACATATTAATAATACTGTAACACCAAACGCGTGATCTCATTTAATCCTCAAACAACCCAATGAAACACAACGCCCAGTCAATTACTGACCAGGAATTCAGATCCGACAAAGAACATAAGCATTGCAATTAAATGAACCAGGATTCTAATCTTGGCTCTGCACTTCAATAGCTGCATAACCATGGGGTCATGAAGAAAATAATAGTGCCTCTGACTCTCATAGGGTTAGTGAGGATTAAATTTTAAAATGCATGCAGGATTTTGTGGCTTTGAAAATTACCACAAAAATTAAAAATGCTACTTTTGAAGTTAAAAAAATAAAATAAATAAATAAAATGCATGCAGGGGCTTCCCTGGTGGTGCAGTGGTTAAGAATCCGCCTGCCAATGCAGGGGACACACATTCGAGCCCTGGTCCAGGAAGATCCCACATGCCGCGGAGCAACTAAGCCCGTGCACCACAACTACTGAGCCTGAGCTCTAGAGCCCGCGAGCCGCAACTACCGAGCCCGCGAGCCACAACTACTGAAGCCCACGCGCCTAGAGCCTGTGCTCCACAACAAGAGAAGCCACCATTATGAGAAGCCCGCGCACCGCAACGAAGAGTAGCCCCCGCTCGCGGCAACTAGAGAAAGCCTGTGCGCAGCAACAAAGACACAACACAGCCAAAAATAAATAAATTAAATAAATTTATAAAAGAAAAATAAAAGTAAAATGCATGCAAAATGTTCAGCACAGTGCTGGGCATGTAATAAACACTCAATTAGTGGGAGATATTGATTTGTTTTCTAGATGATAATAAACACAGGTTTTTTTCACCACAGCCTGTTGATGGACATGTTAATCAGTAAAGACTTTTTGGAAGGCAAGATCCCACCAAAAGTTTTTAACGTACATACATCTGACCCAGCAATTCTGCTTCAAGGAATTCACTTTACAGAACTGTTCCCATGTGTAAGAATGTTCACTGTTGCATTGTTTGTAATAAGGAAAAATTGGAACCGATCTTCAGGAGAAATGGTTACATAAATTATGATACATCTATACCATATAATCATACATCTATGTGACACATCTATGAAATGTTCAACGAAGACCTAAGTAAACTGCTGTGAAAGGTATTCTCCACATCTTAAGTAAAAAAAGCAATTTCTCAAAAGAATCCATATATTCCACTGATGACCAAAAACAAATGAAAAGAGAATAAATACTAAATTAACTGTAAGAAGTGTTAGAAAGTAAAGAAAGGACTAGAAACTAAAGAGGGCTTTCACCTCTTAAGTCTATATACTCCTGCACCCGAGCCGCCCGGAGCCTCCCCGTCAGGTCCTCAGCCCCGGACTCTCCGCCAGCCCCCCTCCAAGAGCATCACAAGGATCCTTGGGGCGACCCGTGTGCGTTACTAGGATAGATGCCCTTCTTGGGAGGGGGCCGAGCCAGCTGACCTCAGGGACCCACCTCCCTTCCAGGCCTGACCCGGCCACCCCCCGTCCCCTCCACCCCCGGCACGCCCCTGGCCGGGGTTCCCCGGGACCGGTCGCACTCACTGTCCTCGCAGCTCCGCCGTGGAGGGGAGGGGCTTCTTCTCCGGCCTGGCCCGCGGTGACGGCGCCCAGGTCTGGGGCGGGGGCACCGGGCAGCGCGGGAGCCATTGGCGGCCCGGAGCTGAGCCGAACCACCGGCCCAGACCTGCAGAGCCGCTGGGCTGACTGCGGCGGCCGGGCGGGGCGGGGCGGGCGGCCGCGCTCGCTCGGGCGCCGCTCTCGGGACGATCATGCTCGGCGGCCTGCAGCCCGACGACGCTCCGGAGCGCGGCGCACCCCCGCCCCGCCCCGCCCCGCCCGGCGAGAGGCTGCTGCGGCCGCCACCCCGCCAGCCCGATGCGCGCCCGTTGCCAGGCGCCCGGAGCTTCCGGGATGCCTTCCGGGCGGTCACCGGGCGCCGTCCCGCAGGACTCTGGGCGGCAAGTCAGGTTGCCGCGCCAGGATGGTGCCTGGGCGTTGGGGAGACCGCTAGGACTCACTGGACTACTGTAGGGGGCCGCCGCAGTCGGAGTCACGGCTGCAGGGGGTGGGGTGGCAGGAGGCTGCGGAAACGAGCCTCAGTCGTGACACCAGGTCAGTGCGGCACGAAAGTGGCGCCACCCACTGTAGACAGGGTGGGTGGTGGGCAGTTGGACAAGGTTGGTGCGTTCAGTTCTCTAGGTTGCATTTTTAAGATTCAAACTAACCAGGCTCTCCAGAGTAGTGCTGAGAGTGGACCAGCAGTACCTGACTAGAGCAATCTTCGGCAAGTGACGTAGCCTTCCCGAGTTCCCGGATTCCGCGTTCTACGCCTCCACTGTCGAGGTTCTTTGGTGAAAGTCTCGGCGCACGTATCCTCCCTAGCTGGGAAGCCTAGCGACCTAAGACAGTAGTGGCTTAGCCTATGTTTATATACTCTTGCCAAGTTGTTCCAAACCCTGTCTTCATTTCTTGACCCCTCCACTAGGGCTGCAAACTGAGCCCTGGTAAGATGGTTTCGGATCCCACAGAACTCCTGAAACTGCTCTCAGCACACCACTTTTGTTTTCATTAAGTTTGATACTAACCTTTCCTAGCTCCTCTGGTTAAGAAAACCAACTCACATTAGGCCTGGAACCTAACCACTTAGTTGTGTGACCCTGGAAGATGGGAAAGTTAGCCCCTCGTCTAAAAAATGGGGACAGTGGTATACTTCCCTAATACAATAGGCTGCACATTAAAAATCACATGGTTCCTTAAAAAACTACAAATAGAACTACCATATGACCCAGCAATCCCACTACTGGGCATATACCCTGAGAAAACCATAATTCAAAAAGAGTCATGTACCAAAATGTTCATTGCAGCTCTATTTACAATAGCCCGGAGATGGAAACAACCTAAGTGTCCATCATCAGATGAATGGATAAAGAAGATGTGCCACATATATACAATGGAATATTACTCAGCCATAAAAAGAAACAAAATTGAGCTATTTGTAATGAGGTGGATAGACCTAGAGTCTGTCATACAGAGTGAAGTAAGTCAGAAAGAGAGAGACAAATACCGTATGCTAACACATATATATGGAATTTAAGAAAAAAAAATGTCATGAAGAACCTAGGCGTAAAACAGGAATAAAGACACAGACCTACTCGAGAATGGACTTGAGGATATGGGGAGGGGGAAGGGTGAGCTGTGACAAAGCGAGAGAGAAGCATGGACATATATACACTAACAAACGTAAGGTAGATAGCTAGTGGGAAGCAGCCGCATAGCACAGGGAGATCAGCTCGGTGCTTTGTGACTGCCTGGAGGGGTGGGATAGGGAGGGTGAGAGGGAGGGAGACGCAAGCGGGAAGAGATATGGGAACATATGTATATATATAACTGATTCATTTTGTTGTGAAGCAGAAACTAACACACCATTGTAAAGCAATTATACTCCAATAAAGATGTTTTAAAAAAAAAAAATCACATGGAGACTTTAAAGGGAAAAAGCCTGGGCCCATCCCCAAACCAATGAAGAATTCAGTTCTGGAGTTGCACTCACAGTGGAGAACCACCCACCCAGGATAAGGTGGATTAAGTGTACACTAGCCCTCAATATATGACCAAATGTTTATTAAATCGGTCTGTTTTGAGTTTGCTGTCCCCTCCTCTTGGCTACCACACCCCTCACTGACACTTACCCAACTCTCTGCCTTGGCTCATGCTGTTCTACCAACAGGTGCCCAAATTCGACCTCCTCTGTGAAACTTCCTAATCCTCACAGCAGGAACCATCTCCTGTATTCCTCTAACATATTTTCACATACTATTACCCCTACACGATAAAACTCATTTTCCCAAGTCCTCCTGAGTAAAACAATATCTATCTAATCTCCATAAGCTTCCACTCCTCCTCTCACCATTCCCCACCCAAACACCCAAGGACTAAAATGTGCTAACACTGGAGATGCAAAATTTTAAATGGCTATTGTCCATAAAAGTCTTGATTCACTCAATCAAAAAAGCAAAGGACCTGCAATGCACTAGGCATTGTTCTCTAACTGCTGGAATAGAGGAGGCTAAGACTCAAACCTGATACTCAAATCTTGAGTGGCTGGGAAAAGTAACAGGTAACAAGTAAATGGAAAAATGATTTCTGATAGTAAAAGATACTATAAAAAAACAAAAAACAAGGTTACATGAAGAGATGTCAGAGATCTTTATCCAGAATAAAAAAGCCAAGTACACAGACCTTCTCAGGGCTGAGTGTTCCAGACACAAGATTTCAAGTGCCAAGACCGTACATTAGAAGCTTTTCATTTTTGAGAAACAAGAAAAAATATAGCTGGGAGCCATAAATTAAAGATCAAAGAATGGCCCTCTCAAATATCTCCCTGCCCTAATTTCTAGAACCTGTGAATATGCTACCTTATGTAGACTTTGCAGATGTACTTATATTCAGTATTAAGGAATTTGAGATGGGGAATTATCCTGGATTATCTGGGTGGCCCAACATAATCACAAAAGTCCATAGAAGAGGGAGGCAGGAGGATCAGAGCCAGAGATGATGGAAGGATGGAAACAGAGGTTACACTTTGAAGATGGAGAAGAGGCCACAAGCCAAGAATTGTAAGCAGCTTCTAGAAACTGGGAACTGCAAGGAAACGGATTCTCCCCTAGAGGCTTCGGAAGGCAGGAAGGCCTGCTGACACCTTGATTTAGCACAGTGAAACTGATTTCGAACTTCTGACCTTCAAAGCTGTTAAGACAAGAAACTTGTGTTTTAAGTCACCTAAGTTTGTGGTAATTTGTGACAGCAGTGATAGAAAACAAATACTTAGTGCCTACTGTAAGTTATGTCAGGTACTGGGTAGGATGAAAAAAAGCCCACCTTAAAAAGTTAACTGCTGAAGAGAAGGGAGCACTTGAATGAGAGGCACGTGTATGTTTTGGCTAGTTTGATACCAAATCTGTAAAGGAAAACAGTTGGAACAGAAAGTTGTCAATCTCCCCCTGCAGGTGGTCCCCAATGACACTTCAAGAATCTGTCCCATCCCAGACATCCTTGTGTAGCACTTATATTTGTGTTAAGTCTATCTTGCCCATTAACACAAGAAAGCAGAGGCTATTTTCCTTTGTACACCCCTAAGTGCTCAAGTTACACAGCAGACAGCATTTACTTAGCACTTTGGGCCAGGCACTGCCCTAAGCATTTTCCATGACCTGACATATTTAGTCTTCACTAAAATCCTATGAAATTAGGTACTATTATTTCCCCCATTTTGCTGGTAAGGAACCAGAGATGAAGTTAATTTAATGGTTCAAACTATTAAGTGGAAGCTGGATATGAATTCATGCAGTTTGGCTCCAGAGCCAGCATTCTTAATCCACTTTACCACAAAGGAAACTTCAAAGGTAAGCAAGACCAGGAAACACCGGGAACAGACAACTAAACTAGGGTAGCTAGGGGAAGACCTAACAAAGCTGGAACTTTGAAGGGTACAAAAAGGCAATGTACTTATGTGAAGCGAATCTTTGTATAAGTAGAACCTGGGTGGCCCAGACTTTCATCAGAGGTTGGTTAGCCTTCTAGTGGATGTGGATGATCTCTTGTAGAAAGTGACACCACTTTCAGGGGAGATTTTTAAGTAAAATAAGATATTAAGGTGCATTTCAACAGGTTCTAACAGTTCACAAAATATTCTCATGTTCAGTTTTAATCCTTACAATCCTGTGAAGGCAAATGATTATCCCAATTTACTCCCTAGCAATCTGACAGCTGTAACTGTCACCTGACAGCATGTTTTTGTTTATTCCCATTGCTTTAGTTATCTACCATATTCCCAGATGTCCACCCCACTTCCAAACTTTCTCATACATCTCCCTATCCTCTGGTCCTCTAGCCGCATTCGGAAACTATGTGGACAGTGAATTTCCAGGACTGAAAACGTGTCTGCAGAGGACACGTACAGCCCAAACACTGTTTCTTTGCCCTCCATATACCTACAGATCTTCCTATCCCCCTCACCAGCTTCACCAGTATTTGCTATTTTGGGTAATGATGTGTCAACATCCATGGACTGCAAAAAATGTGCCACTCAATGTTGAGAGTGGGGGAGACGGGCTGTTTAGGGGCAGGAGGGTATAATGGAACTCTGTACTTTCCACTCAGCTTTGCTGTGAACCTAAAACTGCTCTTAAAAAGTTAATTCTTTTGAAAAAAACATTATTAAATACCACCATCTGATATATAGAATGCCATTTCTATTACTATTCCAAATCCTACATGCCTAGGTAGTTAGCAATATGCCACCTGAACAACTTTATTACAGTAATTACATGTTTTCTTCTGAGCCACTCCTACCGTTCAGAATACTGGTTGTAGGCTATACTGTGTAGTTACCTACCAAAACAGTAAAACAAAACAGGTAATTTCAAAACTTAAAGACTTTTAGCTCCACCAAGAGATTAATGTATGATTTTGTTATACATTGATCCAACTGTTTACCAAGATATTAAATTTCTTGCAAAACACTATAGACATGTATACATGTAACATTGGTTTTATAAACTAATAACCTTGATTTCCCTCCAGGATTCACTGACCCTAAACTCACTAATCCAAATAGCTTCCAACACCCAAGAATTTAAATGTATCTGTCTAGCAACTTTCAAATACTAAAAAGTGATGATTCTGGTGCAAGAAAATCAAAAGAAT